GCCCCCCCTCCCTCCCCTCCTCCTCCCCCCCCCTCCTCCCCCCCCCCCACCCTCTCCTCCCTCCCCCCCCCCCCCCCCGACCCACACACAATGAGCACAGATGCCCTCCCCGTCAACCTGGGCGACGTCAAAGCCGCCCTCGCCCGTGTCCGGCCGCACGTCCACCACACGCCCGTCCTGACCTCGTCGGCCCTGTCGGCAGCTGCTGGTGTAGAGCTCTTTTTCAAGACAGAGGCCATGCAGAAGACGGGCTCTTTTAAAATCCGCGGCGCAACGAATGCGCTTGCCTCTGCCGATCCTCGCCCGCCTGCGGTCGTCACACACTCGTCGGGCAACCATGCGCAAGCGCTGGCGGCCGCTGCGCAGGCTCTCTCCATTCCGGCGTACATTGCCATGCCCTCGACCGCGCCCAAGATCAAGATGATGGCGGTGAAGGAGACGTACCAAGCAAACGTGGTCGAGTGCGAGCCGACAGGCGCGGCGAGGGCGGCGACGGCTGCGGCGCTTGTCGAAGAGCACAGCGCTCTGTTTGTCCATCCTTCGGATGATGTGGCGGTCATTGCCGGCCAGGGCACCCTGGCGCTGGAGCTGCTGCTGGACGACATGCCGGCTGCCGGCGCGACGCTTGATGCGCTAGTGGTGCCTGTCGGCGGCGGTGGGCTCATCTCGGGCGTCTCTGTTGCCGCAAAGGGCCTGCAGCCGCACATCAAGGTGCTCGGCGCCGAGCCAGCGGCCGCCGACGACGCGGCGCGGTCGCTGGTGGCAGGCGAGCGGCTCGGCCACGAGACCGAGCCTGTGACAACAGTTGCCGACGGGCTCAAGACCACGCTGGGCCCGAACACCTGGGCCATTGTCTCCAACCTTGTCGACCACATCTTCACCGTGCCGGAGGACGCAATCATTGCCGGCATGCGGATGGTGTGGGAGCGGATGAAGGTCGTCATCGAGCCGTCGGCCGGCGTCGGTGTCGCGGTTGTGCTCTCGGACGAGTTCCGCGCCTACGCTGCAGAGCACGGCATCGAGCGCGTCGGCGTCGTGCTGTGCGGCGGCAACGCCGACGTCGACAACCTGCCGTGGGCCACGAGCAAGTAGGCAACGAGCGCGTTGAGTGTTACTTGGGGCGGGCAAGGCCCGAGAGAGCGGCAGCGCAGGGTGAGGCGCAGATAAATGCGAGCTTGGCATCGTAGACCCGCGGCGCGGCGGCCAGAGCTTTCGCAGTGGCAGCCAGAGTCTCCTCGCTCAGAATGACTCGGCAGTGGCTCGCCAGGGCGTTGTCGACCTCGGAGCCGAGCGAGAGGTTGTCGTACGAGTGGCCCGGCTGGAAGCCGACAAACGGCACAAACTTGGTCGCCCGCCCTGCGCCGACGGTGGCATACTGTGCGCCGCCAAGGTGAGCGCAGACAGACCTGAACGCTTTCGCGGCCGCCTCGCTCTTCTCCTCGCTCAATGCCTCGCTTGGGGCACCTGTCACTGCTTCGGCAGCCGCCGCCAGGCCGGCCTTGACCACCACCTGGCACGCGGAGCACCGCTCGACGACCGACGCACGTGCGACGAGCTCGGCATCGGTAGCGGCGGTATCAGTGGCTGGCGTATTGACTGAGGCAGTCGAAGCGGCGGCAGGCTCGTTGGACGTGGACATCATGCTGCTGGGGGCGATGTCGGCCGAGGACAACGAGGGATCGGTGAGGACGGTCGGATTCGAGGCGGCGGCAGCAGCGGTGATGGCAGGTGATAACAGAGCAAGAACGAGGACGATGGTGAGGATGGCGAGGGGGAGAGAGGTAGCGGAGGAGGAGGAGGAGGACATGAGGAGAGGAGGGGGAGGCGAGAGGGAGACAAGTGTGGTGCTAAGGAGATGTGTATGTGTGAGAAAGAGAGAGAGAGAGAGGGCTAGAAGAGGCGATCGTGAGCCCACGTCATCGATCATGGAAAGCGACACTCACTGGTAGGTGCGGGTCGAGTAGGTGGGGCGGTAGGCCGGCTGCGGCTGGCGCGAGTTGAGGAGGCCGACGCCAGCCGGGTCCTTCAGCTCGGTGTTGAGGCAGCACATGAGGATCATGGAGGCGAGGAGGCCAAAGAGCTCCAGAGCAGCAAGGACAAGTGCCACGATGACGATGACATGCAGGGCCTTCTGAAGATCGTCCTTGAGCACAGCGCGGCATCCTGCGTTGGGATCGTCGGCGGTGGAGCCCGGACAGACCGATCCGGGATCGTCGGTGGGCGAGTTGTAGCCACAGCAGTGGAAGTTTTCCTGCACGCTGTTCTTCCACGCGTTGTCCGAGGAAGACCACGAATCTGCCAGATGATCATCAAGCTTGTTGTCCTTTGCAGCGTGATAGACGACGACGCCGATGGCGACTTGAGCGGCGATGAGAAGAAAGACCAGCATCCAGTAGCAGCAGAGCAGAGCCTTGATCCGCTTCCAAGCACCACAGCAACCAAGGAAGGAGACGAGCGAAATGAGCGAGCCAATGATGTACAATGCTGTGGCAATGTGCTTGGAGTAATCGTACACATTGGGTCCAGAATGGTTCTTCGGTACGGCAGAACCCTTTTTCGACAAGTGGACGCCGGCGCCAATGACGGCCAAGCCCACAATGAGGAAGATGAGGTTGATAAACACGAAAAGGTGCTTCACGCACGACACAGGGCATGCATTCCGCCGGTACTTGGACATGTTTTCAAAGTGTAGCTATGTGTGTGTAGCTATGTGTGTGTGTGTGGTGGGGGTCGTGTCGTGTCGTGTCGTGTCGTGTCGTGTCGTGTCGTGCGATGGCGGTGCGGTGCGGTGAGAGTTAACAGGTTGATTGGTCGGTTTTGCCCG